AACTTCTAACATGTAGATTAACAATTCAGTTATAAATCATTACCCTACAGGTTAATCACTTGTAAATATCAAGTAGTAATTCATATCTATGCATACAATATCATTCAATAAGTTCACTAATCATTTTGTTGTACACGTTCATACTTAGATATGGTTTACCATACGATTTTCTTAGGTGTACAATCAAAGAGTATGTGTAGTAAATAATTACACTCAAGATTTTTTGTCACATTAATCCAATTAGCAACGAACTAAAGAAATCAGAATAGAAAACTGAAATCTAGATCGAATATTTAGATGGTGGTTGGAGGTAGTCAACAGGAAACTCTGGACCCGGGTTTCGTGCTACTTGGCACTCGTCAGCAAGGTGTACCTGTAATCTTGAGGGAACTGGTGCTCCCTGGCGGATTCGATCTCGTGTCACCCAGCTTCACAGTCAGAGACGTTATCACTGAGCTATCCGAGCCGTGACTAACCTCCTGTAGGACTGAGATGTAATCACAATTGATTGATCACTGGGTGGTGATCAATGTCATGCTAGACTGGTGGCCACATTGCAACATGATCGATAGCATTCGATCTGCACTAATAAGGACTAGACAAGCATGACATTGATCACCACCCAGTGATCAATCAATTGTGAGATCGAATATTTCTTAGAAATTCTTCAAAAGGATCCCGATATTGTGTGAATTCTGTGTTTATGTCAGGATTGATGATTCCTTCATCTTATCAAAGTTGTAAATTCATAGATCATTTTGTGAAAGAACGAGATTTAGTATGATCATCTACATATTTAACAAATGTTTCTCTTTAAATCCTATGCTGTCTAAAATAATCTATTCCACACAGCCTAGTAAAATATTTATTTCCAGATAAGGGTTTTGTGGATATTATAGTAATTCTAATAGTTGGGTTCGTGAGTCAGTTGAAGCTAGACCACTATGGAAAACCTGGAAGCACTGGATGGCCGTTTCGTCCTAGTGTGAGGCTCCTCAGCAGTGCGCATCCATGATCCTGACTCGTGAGATTCGAACCCAGGACTTATCGTCCAGTACTTCCAGATTTTCCATGGTAGTCTTGGTTCAATCGACTCATGATCTCAACAATTGAAATTACTATAATATTAACAAAAACCCCTTCTGATACATTGGTCTACCTGTCTCACGATATCCCATAGTTTGAAATCGTTACGTAGATGAAAAATAACAATGAGAAGTAACTTACGATTGAAACGCATCAAATAATTAAAAAAACACTAATCACTACTGGATGATATTCGGGTAGCCACTGAAACGCTCCCTAATAAATGTAGTATATGACATTTATTATTAATTATACTGTACTATATCCTTCTTTCTTCCTGTACTATGTCCAATCTTTCTTTTATATATTACAGCCATTAAATTAACTAGTTCTGTGAATCCGGAGTTCATCTTGTTGTGCTAATTAGGTATGGCAACTTGAACCGATGTACATATGTGCTTGGTCCTACGTTGTAGCTGACTGACTGACTATACAATAATACTTTCAGTGGTCATTTAATAAGATCAATCATAGAAACCATAAAACAGAAATATTGATGTTTTTGTAGCCTCTTAAATTAAACACAACACTCTGGAACGTCAAAAATTTTCGCATAAAGTAAACCTGCTGTAAACTTTATGTGAACTAAAGTCTAAATAACATGACATTTAATAACTCATGTTGATTGTGACAAATCATTTTGTTTAGCGGTTTCTTGGTCAAAAGTATCGATTGTTAAAAATTCAGGTAAATATGGAATATATATATATTAAACAAATGAGATTTCTAGTTTAAAATAACAGTGTCAATATTATGTAACTTTGACTAAATGTTTATGAACATTTCATTGCCAAGTTCGATAGTTACATTATCAACAATATCAGAATATCTTTTATATCTAATTATACACATAAATTTGCCCCCAAATATCGTGGTACGGCCGAGGATGAGAATAGTCAACTCTCCTTCTGTAGATGCTCCCACATGGCCACGTGTAGACAGTCACTACCAGAGAAATCCTACTCACTGCCATTTTGTGGGAGGGGTGTTGTTTACAAAATTGAGAGGACGAAAAGCGAATGTCCAGCGTTTAAACCGGGTTGGTGGATACGGAAAGATCTAACTAGGGGAGTTGAAGAACACTTATCCCAAATCAATGGTGCACATAGCTTTCAGGATTTTAAGGAGACAAATTGCGAATTAAGCTATTGTTTGTCACTGGTTATTATGGGACTGCATTACCTATCGTAACCTCACTGTTTTATAGACCAGATATCTAGGTCAAAAGAACATGAAGTAGCTCCCTAAGGAAAACTCTTGTTTCTGTTTGAGCATCCGTGCAGTATCCCATTACACAGCATGAATGATAACAACTGTGTATGGCACAAATATATTTTGGTGCCGCTTTGTACTAATGTTTGTATTCAAAAAAATAGTAAATGAATCAATAATATCATGTTAACATTATAAATCTATTATGAAGCCCCAATAAATCACGACTAGCATTGAAATGGTGTATGCTTATGTCATGCTAACGATATACACATATTAACAATGATTATCAACTGAATGTTTTGCACAACTTGTCAATAACTGTATCACTAAAGGTTATCAACAAACGAACCACTGGAAATCATGAACTATGGAATATTCGTTTTTGAATATTTTCAAGCATGGCTTATCAATAACACCTTCCATGTTCATTCGTACATTGTTAAATATTACATTTTGATTTGAGATATCATTCTGAACTATGTTAAGTTAATTGGTTAATGTTCACTTAATAACTTATTTATTTATTTAAACACATAAACATTGATACAAATAGGTATCAACTAGATATGCACTACATAAATCATTCGATTTGTGTGAGGGCTGAGATACTGTTCAGGTGGCCGAACTGAAGTAGGTCACATCATATCACTGCATTACGGACACAATGTTTATTCGTATGTTCACAGGAAAATGCAATGCAAGAATATTATAGTATATGAATACAATTCATCTATGTACTTGTTAAGTCTTGTAGATATAAAACAGAATCTGCATAAAACAAAAGGTGGTTAGTGTTTGCAGAATATGACAAATCTATCATATTTCATTGCTTTCATTCAAAGTTGATATAACCCCTACTAAGATTTACAAGAGTGTAGAATGTAAAGCCAACAAGAATATTAGTCTTGTTTCTAAACATAAAAATGATTGATAAATAAAGTTTAAGAAAGAAACACAATGAATTTATTGTATACTACAAATTGTATTATCTTAGTTTTATATAAATTTGTAATGATCAATTATATAAAATGTAAAGTATGTAAAGTGGTTGGACAAGATCCTACTGACATTGTAATATACAAAAGGTAAAAGTAATTTATGATTGTTTTTTTTTTGTTTTTTTCAAGTTTCATCTTCTCAATCCTATTCGTGTAAACCAATTTGGACAGTCGTGTAGTACCATTCAATGTACACATAGACAACGTATGTTAACATTGAGTATATGGTTCTATACTAAATAACATGAACCATATGGATGGATCAGGACTATTTTGAATTTATTTAATGTTTATCTACGTTAACGTATGTTGATCAAACGTGTAGATTGATTATAGTGGAATTGTTTAAAGAAATTCTCACCATACATATTGAAATTAGTAAGATAGTGGAATGTACTAGGTCATATAGAATTTAATTTCAACTCAACTCCAAAAGTATATAAACTTCATTTTTATTATAATTAGAGATTAGACACCGTTGGATGCCTGCAGGCTCAGTGGTCTAGAGGTTGAGCGTTCACCAGCGAGACTGAAAGATCCTGAATTCGAATCTCAAGAGATTGGATCGTGGATGCGCATTGCTAAGGTGTCCCATAGCAGGACGAAACGGCCGTCCAGTGCTTTCAAGTTTTTTCCTGGTGGTCTAGCTTCACGTGAATCATAAATTCAACCATTAAATTTATTTTAATTCTCCATTTCATTATCACTTCATGTATTCACACTCTCATCACATGCTATTTTGTCTTATTCTCCCTAATCCTCAATGATAAAAGTTTAGTAGTTAAGGTAATAAACTTTTAACCATTAATGAGTTTGTTTAAACTTAATTCCATCTGGCTCGATTTAGACAGACTTTATATATTAGTATTTGTATGGGTTTTGAAGTGTTTTTTCTTCGTTATTTCAATTGTCTTAAACACTACAGTCATTTGCAATCGACTTTCCAAGTCATTTACCCAGTACACGTTTATAGACTTGGTCTTAAATAACACTGATTAAAACTTAATGCTGTTGAAACCAAGTTTAGTAGAAGGAGATAATAAGACCAATTAAGTTTCTATATTCAAAACGTATGACACAACAGATTTCATTAAAATTTGTGTTGTATGATCATTTATAATAGATTACTAAATATATAAACTTTGTGAACATTACATCAAAGATAGTTAGTAGCTAGCAGTGGAATCAAGAATGAGTGTTTAGTCCTATTTGACACTCATTGGCTGGATGTGCGTACATCTCAAACTTGATGTCCACTTTGGAACTTCAACCCAGTGCCGTTTACTTTAAATGCTATCGCGCTATTCACTTAACTACTGAGTCCTGATAGCCACTTGCTTGTGCAATAGTCTGAAGTTTAAATTCACTTGGTATTATTAACTTGAATCTTTCCATTGATGTTTAGTCACAGAGTGAATATCAACAGCTGACGAGTTCAATATAGGACGAAACGCGCATCAAACTGGATTCTACTTGTAGTCACTATCTAACGTTACTTAGAATACTTTTGAATTAATATAATATCGAGGTAATACGCACAGAATGCACATATGCTAATAAAAGATTGATCAGTTGCAGTTTATGAAAATGAATGTACAATCAAGATATAATGAAAAATTATTTAATCAACACTCAATTATAATTCCGAATAATAAATAAACAATTCTAAAATTTATTTCATTTTGCAAGATATTAACTTACTATATCTGCTTTCTCGTGTGCTTCATCTGCAGTGTCTAAACCCCATCTAGCATATAGACTACCTGATTGTAATATCGCTCTACGAAAATATGGTTGAGCAATTGGTGACATCCATAGAATTGACACACTGACTGCTCCGGCAGATTCACCAAATATTGTCACTTGATTTGGGTCACCATGAAATTGTCCTATATTCTCTTTTACCCACTTTAATGCCATTAATTGATCTAATAAGCCCTGATTACCTAGAGCACTAGTTTGCGTTTGATCGGTAGTATTAGGCTTTAATCGTAAGAAACCAAATGCACCGACACGATATTGCATAGAAACAATAATTACATTTTGTGTAGCTGAAAGTATAGCTCCATTATATACTTGTAGATTAGCACTGCCTGAAGTAAACCCACCGCCATATATCCATACCATAACTGGAAACCGTGAACTATCGGCACTAGGTTTCGGAGTCCATACATTAAGATATAAACAATCTTCACTCATTTCAGTATTGTTAATCCACATTTTACCAGCAGCATTAACAGCATCAAATCCTACAAATATATATTGCCAACATGTTGCTGATAATTTAGTTGCATTATATGAACCTTTCCAACCGGGATGTTTTACTGGTGGAGCAAAACGTAATTTATCAATTGGTTTTGATGCATAAGGTATACCTAAGAAACTATTGACTTGAACTTCTTTTCCATCAATTTGTACAGTTTCTTCTTTTCCAATAACTGATCCACCATGATTTAAAGTTATTTTTATAGGTTTTAAAGGATTCAACATCACACTAGTAGTAATAATCATAATCATAATATTGAATAATGATAATATAGACAAATGAATAAATGAAATTAACATTGTCAATAGGATAAGGAATATTGAAAAAGATATTTACATAAGTGTATTCCTAATAGTTACTTGTATATAAATGTAAATATATTACTAAAATGACTAGTCATATTTATTATTAGTATAAACTGAGCAACACCCACCTATTATGCTGACTGATAAAAAATTAAAAAAAAATTTTTTCTAACCAATCATTTTAGCCCTGGCAACTAAATTTTGATTGGTTAATTTTTAATTTGATTAAATACTGATTATTATTCATTACTATTTTCAGTAATTGGTTTCATTATTTTAAAATGTTATTCAATTAATAAAACATTCTTTTTGTTGCTAAGTCATTAACATTCCATAAACATGGAAGATGTCAATCAATGAACCGACAAAAAAAAACATTACTAGAATTTATTCAAAGGAATAATTTTATAAAATAATAATACATTAACAGTTTGATTGATGATTTGGACTATCTATTACTGCCATTTAAATCTTTCAATAAAATATTTTTTTTTGTTTAAATATCTCATTATGTTTATTAATTGTATAACTTATACAACAAGAGTGTTTATGAAAAGCTTACGATCATTCGTTGTACAATGGAAGATAGTCGCACAATTTTATGAATTATTTGATGTTAGATATTAACACTGTTGGATGTCGGATGGCGCAGTGATCTACAGGTTAAACGTTCGCATGTGAGACGGAAGACCTAGGGTTCAAATCCTACGGAGGGGGATCGTGAGTACGCACTGCTGAAAAGTCCCACAATGTGACGAATCGGTAATTTAACATCAATCAATTCATGATCTCAATCAAAAACTTACGATCTTTCACTGAACAAATTACACAAAAAGTACAATAAGAGATATTGTGGTAGTTGACAATGTGTATTGAAGAGAATGAATATTAATCGTATGTCGATTCCAAAGCTCCTAAATTTTAACTGCCGATCACTAATTAATAAATTAGGCTACCTTCAGTTCCTACTAAATCAAAACATGTATTGGAATTGTGATGTCATCATAACTCAGAATCTTGGTCAACTGATTTACAAAACTATTGCTTAGTATCACTACGTGATTTCAATATCTATAGTCAGGATCGATCAAGCAAGGTATGACGATGGTGTAAGCGTGAACGAGTGTTGATCTATTTTTGCATGTTTCATGTTTTAAAATGACTTTATTAACTGTTTAACTTCAAGATGCCGTCCGATACATCTGAGTAAATACAAATGTGTTTATGTTACCAACATCTATATGACTTCAGATTGCACATCATCTGCGCTATCTGTTTTTACTGATAAATTCGTTGTTATCGCCTTCAATGATTTGCTTTCAATTGTATATGGTGATTTCAATTCACGTGACTGCAGCTTCCTTTGATCACATGGTCACCAAAACGTAGTAGATTTTCCCACTTGTTTGGATGTTCATTTGGACTTTGTTTTCATTAATAATATGGGTATATATGTGACTCGTAAACGTGCTACATTGTATAGCTCGGATCGCTGTATAATTCGTGTTCTAATTAAAGTATATAGAAAGCATGGAAACAGTACACTCTTAAATCAGAACAAGAAAGTCAAATATAGGGATTATCCAGAAAAAAAGTATTCTACTACTGAAAAACATGTTTCATACCACTAACTGGGAGTTATTTACAGACGAATCACTAAAAAACACTACCGATGTTATCAATTGTTATCTTTAATTTTGTTTTGATATATGTTGTCCCACTGAAAACATGATTTTACGTTTTGATCGACTTACATCTTCACAACTAAAACGACTACGGAGGGTAAAAGAAAGAATGCACAAGGAGGGAGACTCTAATGAAGTTTGTAAGCTAAATGGTCTAATAAGCCTAGAGATAAGACGTCTCAACCCTATGTTTACTGAGAAACTCTTATCTTGTAAAGTCTCTCCAAGTATGTGGGAACTCTTTAAAGAAGTTACAGGTGATAGACACATTAGAAGCGATAACCAGCTGAATGTTTGTGACTTGATTAAGTCTTCTGTACGTCATTCATCTGATGTAATGCCCCCTATATCCACAGGTTTGAAGAATAGTTGTTTCTCATTTTCACTGAAACCGATGTCCGAAAATGTCTCCAGTCACTTAATTCATCTCAATGTTTAGGACCTGACGGAATGCTTGTTATGAATTATGTCCGGCTTTTATCACGTTATTTATCCACCAATCAAAATACGATTTATACAGTCTTCGCAACTGTGCCAGAACCAATGACCTTCGACCGGTATGGGCAGTCTAGCTTCCTTATCGGTCCTACGTCTGCCTCGCCCGTCCACTTGAGTCCAGAACACCAAATACCAGCTTCCAATATGCGAATCATATATTTCAAACATACTGTGTTTGCACATCAACCAAAAAGACCGCAACGCACCATAAAATAGGGAATAATATTTGTACATAATAAAGCCAAAAAGTGGCTGTGAACGTGGAAGGCAGTAGTTAATAAACTGAGCATAATTTGGGGACAGTAAATTGCATAATAATAAATTATAGGTCAAAATGAAGCTTATAATAAGAGGAATATAAATACCCACAATGTAATTATTGAATAATTATACAATAAGAATATTTATAGACTAATAATCCATTATTAATCCTCGTAAGTTACCTGTAATTTAATCTTCACTAAGATATAACAATGCCAAACCTCCTTTTTTTAAAATGTGCTGACGTTCTATGTTATCCATTCACCTGTATTTTTGGCAGATCCTTTTCAACTATTCTCATACCGAAAATATGGAGAAATATAAAGATAATCCGCACAACTAAGAAAGTATCTGGCGATAAGAATGTGAAATTTAGACCCATAGCAATAACTTCACCCTTCCTCAAAACAAAAGAAAAATTATTGACACTCCCACTACAGCCTTCAGCAAGAGAGCACACTGGCATCGATCCACATCAGTTTGCTTAAAAATACAAAAAGCACCTTAGATGCTGTTGCTGTTCTGCATCACAATATAGTGTTCAACTTAGAAAGGGGTAAGAAGTATGTTCGATGCGCTTTTCCGGACTATACTTCAGCTTTTGATTCTATAACAAGACAACGTTTACTTAACAAGTTAATCAGCGTCCACACTGGCAGCTGGATAACCAAGTGGCTATGTTCCTACCTCTCTGAAAGAGAACAGTGAATGTTTTTGGAAGAAAGTGTTCAGCGTCTCTACTGTCTCATGATGGTGTGCCACAGGAATCTGTTCTTTCACCTCTTCTTTGCTCTTTTCTTCTGTACGATCTGCCAACTTCCACAGAAAACACTTTTGTGAAATCTGCGGACGATCTCACAGTATGTATGCTGATTTCTACCTCTTTACATCCCAAAGATATGAATGACTTTTTGTCACGTATTGAATAGTGGTCTGTTGTTATTGGTCTCATACTTGATCCCTTTAAATGTCAAGTTGTCAGCTTTAGCCTGAGACATTGTCAGCATCTAAACACCATGTTGGAATCCTATAATGCTTATGCCATTGTAGACTCTTTGATAAACAGTGTCGAAGGTCAATTATCTTGGTGTTACCTTTTCCTCTAGTCTCTCTTGGTCTTCTCATGTTTTACTGTTATGGAAGAAAGTTTTCTGTTTGACTTACTACATAAAGAGACTGAACGCTTTGGGATTACTCGACTTTTACTCTTACAACTTTTCAATTCCTACATATTACCTATTATTCTTTACTGTTCTGTATTATTCTTACCCGAGCTTTTGAGAAAAGACTTTGCTGTATTCCGGAGAGTGCTGAAGGCAGTTAGCAAGGTGTGTGGTGAATCGTTCGAGGTTGTTATTAATATGGTTGTGGATAGACATTAAATGTCTTACAAACTCCTGGTAGGTGTTATCTTATCAGACACTGACCACCCCCTTAATTCATTTCTTTCTCCTTATAAATTTTCTGGTAGAACGTGACGTCAATACATTAAAGTCTATGCACTTAAGCAAAGGTATAAATGTTCTATAATACTTTACCTAGCAAATATAATCTGTGATGAACAGGCTGTTATAGCCGACCTAGTCAATAACTTCTATTCATCGACATGTCTCGAATTTCAAAAGTTGTACAGATTCAGATCTTTTTCATATTTTTCTTTTTTTTTGTTTTTGTAGTAGAAACATGTTCAAATACTTCGTGCTGAGAATTCTATATTGTACCAAAAGTATACTACTGAGTAAAACCATTAATAATAGTAATAATAGTACATTATTATTAGTAGTATATAAGAAAATGATTAATTTCCGGAAGTTTTATCACATGAATATTTCATTTGAAGACAATCTAATTAGAATTGAGAATGAAGAAATGAATGATCAAGATGAAAGATAATACAATTTGATTGAAATAAAATTGGCGATTATGTGTACTTGAAGTGTTAAATATAAATAATGAGGTTATGTATATAAATTTTATAATGGAATGGAACAATTGATAGATTCAATTTACCACGACAGGGTGAAATTGATGATTCTTACAGTTTCAGTCTCAGTTTGGAGAGGACAGGAGGTGTGATGGCCTGTGTTATTCTTGGAAATGACAGTCTCTCAGTTCATCAAACTTTCTTTTGAAGGAGTCAACAGATGGTGCTTCAACTGAATGTTGAGTTGATGAGCTCCACTCGTTGATGATTCGATGGGAAAGTCGATAGTCAGCTGACAAGTAAATTGTTCTGCGCTTTTGAACAATTTCGGAGTGTCCTCGAAAATTATCTGTTTCGGAAGTCAACAAAAATGAGGATGTATGAGGTGCAAATTTATCACTGAGTAATTTGAAAACCGTAATCAGGTCATCTCTAGTTCTGTGGTATGACAACTGGGATAGGTTTCGTTTAGCCAGTGGAGCATCAATCTGCAGCTTCGCTATTCCGGTAATCAGTTTATTTACTGTTCCCTGAACCTTCTCTAAAATCTCAATGTCTGTTTGAAGCGGGGGCTAGCCACTTGTGCGGAGTACCCAAGGTTAGGACGCACGAATACTGTATGCAAA